CCTTGATAATATTTCGGAGGATATTCCTTGTGATTTTAGTTTTTAAGAGTAGATAAGTATTGATTGATTGAGAGTATCATTGTGTAGTCTGTGTTTCAATTTCGTTTAATTCATAAATTTATTAAGCTGGCTGAGCATTTCCTATTCTCGCTTTTGTGTGTTTTTTTATTGAAATATTCCGTATTCCCTACATTTTTCAGGGAATATTCAATATTCCTAAGATTTTGAAGGACGATATTCAATATTCAATATTCCCTTCCACCCCCGAAACTTTATTGGGCGTGTTGTCTATTACACAAATACACACATGGTACTTGGGTGCATAGTTTTCACATTTTTGGAAATTGTTTTCCACAAACATGAATCCATCTTAAAATGATAATGAAAAAAGAAAACAGCTCTGGCGATTTCTAAGTTGGCGGACATACGGATAGGGAAAAGACAAGAACGCTCCTTTTTCCCCGTGATTAGGGGTTATACGAATTTATGCGTACTTTACAACGAACTTTACGACTGCGCTACGCCACTGATAACATGCGACAACAACATTTCATCACCGTCATTAAAATCATGATCCCTTTCATAAATGCATGCGTTACCTGTTGTCAATAGTAACTGTCAGATCTGGGTAGGTTCTGTCACGAAATACAAACGTACACAACAGAAATAACGCGAGCCATGATAGGAGAGATACGGTTACAAAGGGCCTGAAAAAATAAATGTACACCTAGTTCAAAATGCATCTATCAAAATCTTTAGGAATTGTCACTGAATTTGGTTTGAATTGTTTAATATTTTCTGAATGGTTAGTGAATCACCGAAAAGTATGAAGATAACGGAAGAAAAACTAAAAATCAAACTGTGTAAAAAGTGTGGGATGTGACGAATATAAATATGGGTAGTGTAAATGACCTTTGTTTATGGCGTTGAATTTTCCATAGCCACAGTGCACTTATTACATTTATGTAATATATAAAGTATAAGTGGGAGACCTTTATGGGCATATAAAACTGCGAGCTGCAAGCAGGGAGTTTTAGAGCCCATAAAGGTCGAACGCGAATATTTTATATTGCTTATCAAATTCCAACATATAAGCTAAAGTATATTCCGCAAAAAACTTCAAGATAAAATATCATTTTTGTAAGAAAAATTCGAAGTTAAAGTCGTATGCAAATTAGGAAAAATATCTTGCTCACGCACATAAAGATGTGGTTCTGAAGTTCTGAAAATGATTCCTAAAATTAAAAGGGACCTGTATTGTGCGATGATGGGCGTGGCAGTGCTAAAATTTCACCCCTAGGAGGGACCAATCAATAACACGTCATTTTGTTGTGGTTTCCCGATTTTATTTGTGTTTTTGCACAAGCATCAAACGCCGTCGACTTGTTTTGAGATCAATCTAATTAGCAGTTATGGTTGTTGTTCATCTTATAATGACGGATAAGATAGGTCGTCGTATACCCTAAAAGGGACCACAAAACTCAGTTGGTTAAAAGCCCGAAAAAGGAACGACGAGGACACGTCTCAGTCTCGACAAAAGCACAAAGGACGCATGGTCGGAGTTTCCGTTTCTCCGTTTCGCTTCCGTTTCTACACCATCCTGCACCATCGGAGGACGTATAAAAATAAATAACTCAACTATTTAATCAGAGTTAGCTACTAATTCTGCTTCGACTGCTTCGAATAGGGGCTGGCCAACACGCATTCTTGGTGGAGTGGTCAGTGCTCACCAAAGATACAATCTTTATTTTTTCATTTCCATATATTATATATATTTACATTGTTATTGCATATTTCGTAGAAAACAATAGTAGATTTATATTAATTTTCATAGAAAAATATGCTTTGCATTCAAGGACTAGAGACTAAGGGAACCGTAAGGTTTTCAAAGTTAGACTCTAGGCAGTTTTAGATAGGTTTGGAGTGGTGCTGGTTTGTATAAAGCTGGGATGCTAGGACAATGTAGGGTGCATAGATGCGAACGAGAACTCATCGCTGCATTTTGTTCCTTTTGATCATCCATTATATTATATAATAGCTCCTTTCAGTTATGCAATTCCCATTCATTGATTACCAATCACCGTTGAAAAAGATAGTGGATGACCTCTGCCTCGCATTTGTTTTTACTTTGTTTATTTTTTAAGTAAGTTTTGATGATGTAAATATACTTACAACAAGGCCGAAAGAACAGTTTCCTTAACCTGCTCTAGTAACATTGTTCTACCCTCATCGTCAATGAGCTTAAATACCAAAATTGGTGAGAGCAGAAATAGAATAGAGATTGCGACAAAAATCATACCTAGAAAACAGGTAAGATATTTGTTAGGTATGTCATAATCATTTTACTAACTGTATGGGCTAAATATGACTGTAGCATTAAAAGTATGTATTTGAACTCAACAAACCAATTGCTGTGAATGCTATTTGATATCCGCAAAATCGAAGACTTTTGCCCTGCAGAAAGAAGTTTATTGCATGAAATCGTCAAGAACTGACTATCACGATCAGTAATTGACATCAGTTCATGATAATGAATTTGTGTGCGATGAAAAAACATCCATGAGTGAGTTAATGGAGATCCCCAGAAGCGCGGGAGACGGGTGCGAGGAATTTCCCGGCAAGACCGCATTAAAAAGCCACTGATTTTCCAGTGGAAGATGCCGCTGATTTGAAGCTTATTGAGTGCGTGAGTGAGCTGCAGGTGCAAGTAATTCATTATACTCACCACGAGCATTTTAGGATTGGTGCGTTCGTCTGGTAGTTGACCCGCTCTGGTTCTGTATGTTTTCAGCACATCAGACCTGTAGATTACAATATCTTCGTATTTAAATAATGAACGGGAAATATTGACCAAGAACTTACGGATTACCTGTGGCTTTTGATAAAAAACAACAGCTGTAGTGTTGCAATGAGAGAAGCAGCGGTAATGGCTACCAAAATGTAGTCTGTAAAAGATGATTAGCATTCAGTTCGATTCAGATTCAGTTTTGCGGCATCTCCAGTAAAGAGAAAAGTAAAGAGAAGGGGTGAGTCGCGGCGGCGTCTTAATGTTGAGGACAGATGTTGCAAATGTTCGGAAGCATGGTGCGTGTAAAATGTCCACTAAAAACTTCGATAACCTTCATTCGAAATTTTAAAAATTTTAAAAACACTATAGATAGAGATGCCAACAAGATTATTTGCTTGAAACTGTTTTGGCATTTCGTATAGTTAATATTTTTGTTGTTGTTGTTAAAATGCATGATATCTTCTTTAGATTTGTCTTCCAGAAGTCGATCAATATTTGCATAAGTGTTGAGAAGTATTCTATTGTTGTGTAATGATCTTTCACTCTCGATCGCCTCCATAAATTGGCTTGTTCTACTGTAAAACAGATCGTTCCTGGTTCGATGCTGTTGATGTGGTCTAATATGTCCTCTACTTCATTGGATTTGCACTTTACTTCCGGGTCGTCTACGTACCATGGCCAGTCTGTTAGTTTTGGGGTTTTGTGCTCTGATTTGGAGGTCTTCACAGAAGATGGTGGCAATTTCTCCTGTCGCTATGAGTCCTATTGGGCCACTGTCTAGGATGTAGTGGTTGCCGTCGTATTCACAGTAGAAGAGAGAAAACATCCATCGTAGAAGTTTCATTATGGATCGGACGCTCCATTTGGTGACGTTGTGAAGGTCTCTTTTGGTCAATAGCAGTTCATGTTCTAGATCTAAGGCTTTCTTCATAGAGATGGATGGGTATAAATTGACTACATCGTAACTAACGATGTTTCATCTCGTTCTATCCTCCATTCTTTTACTCGTTCTTTTAGTTCTCGTTCTTTCTGACGTATTGGCCACTTCGACCCTGGATGGATTTGAGGATGGGTTTGAGAGCTTTCGAGATCTTGTCATAGGGTGATCCTATCGTGGATACTACGCCTCGTAATGGGATGTTCTGTTTGTGTATTTTTGGATATCCTATGAGTCTTGGGGCCTAGCAGTCTTGGGGTTTGAGGTACTAGCTCTCTTTTCATTGATCTCATTGTTTCCACCATTTCACTCTGCATTCTTTTCAATTATGTCCCAGTCTTGTTCGTTGCGGACTGATGGTCTCGCTTTTAGGTCATCTAGTACTTTTTTCATTTTTGTTTCATAGCTTTCTGATCCTCCTATTTCTGCTTTTCTGCCCATGGCTATATGATCTTGCCTTTGTCTGCTGGTAAGTATACTCTACCTTTGTCCTTTTTGGCTTTTTGTTTTCCTCTTTTTTCTTGTGGTGTGAGTTTGGATTTTGGTGTTTTTTTTATATATATCATTCGAGGGTCTGCATCATTTCGTGTCTGAGGTCTGATATAGACTGTTCTAATTCTGCTCTTTTATCTTCGTTCTCAATCTCTTTGCACATTGCTTCTGTTGTTATGAAGTCTTCAAAAGGGATTCTTTTCGGTGTTTCGGAGGAATCGGGTCCTAACGCAAGGTACTGTTTGACATCTTCGTCAATCCCAATTTTTGTGAGGTCAACTACTTCACGAGTTATCTTTCTCTCTTTTATTTTTTGATCGTGGTTGTTTTATTGTTCTGTTTGTCTTTTTTCCTCTAGTATTGTGTTGAATTTTATTTTCTTTCTTTCCCTATACATAATCCGGAGTTTACTCGGTTGGATCTGGTTATTGCTATTGGTCTTTTTTAGGTCTTTTTCTTCGAGTGTGATTTTTAATTCAGCTAATCTGTTGTGCGGTGTTTTGATATTTGTTTTATTTACAACTTGACGTTCTTATGGCATTCTTAATATATGCGATTTCGAGGTCTTTGGTCTTTCTCTGGATGTTCTCACTAGTAAAATTTACTGAAAATTCCAGCCCTTCGGCACTCTTATACCCGATGGAAAATTAGTAGCAAGTGACTTATTTTTCCATCGAATGTGAATTTCGTTAACTTTGTCTTCCATAGGATTGAAAAGCAATTCTTCAATGTCACAATAATAGTCTACTTCACGGTTACCTGCGCCATCTTGAAAGATAGCCGTGCCTTTGCATCAAATCGAGACGACCGCTGAGCGTGCAATGACAGATACCTGTGAATAATTGTCTGTAGGTGTGAAAGAAGGTTTCTATTATTACACGCTGACGGTCGTCTCGCTTCGATGCAAAGGCACGGCTATGGGTTAGGGTTAGGGTTTATACATTTCAAGATGGCGCAGGTAACCGTAGGCTCAGTCTCCAGCCGTCGGGATTTCGTGCGCCCGCGATACTCTCTCCCCTGACGGCTGGGCGCATGAGGTTCGCTATTGTCAGTCTTGACCAATCAGCGAGTGGCCCCCGATATTTTCAGGGGCATATCATTAATAAATTAGCAGGCAGCAGTGTAACAAAATGGCGTACAATTCGTCGTTTGAGATTCTCTTTGAAAGTGCTTGTTTGAAAGCTCTAAAGTCGTTTAGCTTGGACGAATTTAGAGAAATACAGCAAAAGGCTCTTAAAGAGATTGTTCTTGGAAAAGATGTCCTTGTTATTCTTCCTATACTGGCTCGGGCAAATCTCTTATTTTTCAAACAGCGCCACTAGTGTATTTTGCTCGTTTTTCTAGCAGATAATACATCCATTTGGATTATTAAACCCTGCACATGTTTTACTTGGGGTAATTTCCATTCCTTTCTCTTTTTTAAAGCGCTAACTATTACATTATATCGCTACTTCGCGAAGTTTTCATTTCACATAATTTCCCGCCTTGTAGCAAAACCTTTACGGCTGTTGTCAGATATTTCACTTCCGTTCACTGAAAAATTCACTTCCGTTACGTCATAATATGCTAATTACACAAAAACGTCACGGACATGCGCGACACGTTTTGAACCCCATGCGCCCAGCCGTCAGGGGAGAGAGTATCGCGGGCGCACGAAATCCCGACGGCTGGAGACTGAGCCTAAGGTAACCGTGAAGGAGACTATTTATTAAAGAATTCGTAATTGCATAAATACTCAAAGAACATAGCGGATAACTTTGCGGCCCCAGACTTCGGCCCAGGTGTCGTCCCCAGACTTCAACCGGACTGTATGCAATAATATTATATATATTTTTAATATTGCAGCCGGCTTCAGTAATTATCTCTACCTATTTACTTACCGATAACAAGTTTCAATGATGGATTTGGAAGGTTTTTCTTGTATAATAACAGTCCATAAGTAAAAATAACAGCTAGCTACAACAAAAAAGGTTAATTGTGAGATACTGGCTAATAACCGTTCATAAAGCACTCGGTTCATATTTCCCTCACTGCCCTAAATTTATACTTCAGACTTGGAACCCCGAAATCCTGTACTGAGTTGCGAATTTTGATGACTGAAAAGTCTTTAGCCTTTCTGTACTTTTAAGTACAAAAAATATCCGTCCAATACCACTATGCTACTCAGCTAATTATAACCGATAGGAACTGGCGAACAAAAAGTCTTTTTGACTGTTGTAGTTGAGATTCGTTAGCTCATCCTGAATCGAAGCTTTAACGTTATCTAAGTGACTGCAATGCATTGCGGGATCGGTACGATAATTTTTTTCCCCAAACCTATCGCTACTACGCATTGCCCATACGATACTTAAAATATGCATCTAGCATTAACAACCGCTGTGGCAAATGTCATTACGAAAAAATACTAGTTACCTGATAAATGAAAATAAAGGACACAATCACCGCAGACAGAAACTGAGTGGAAAACTTAAAATCTGAAATAGAAGAATAGATCTTGATGTCTGTTTCAGCAAAGACATATTGAGAGTCAAGCTATCCCACCATATTCGCTAGGGAGGCTAAATTGCCTGCCCACTTAGGTCGTTAGCAAAAGAAACGTGTGCTTTACCGACGAAAACTATACGGGGACCTTATGACATGTGATTCCATTAGACTGTGTTTACCCTCTACATATTCCACAGGTAGCCTAAGCACTGGACTTGGCGGTGAAAAACGAAAAGTTCGATAAAAGTGGTAAGTGGTAACTACAACATAGTGTTCTTCTTATTTTTCTCAACACCCCTGTGAATTTTCAGCTCGTTATGTTAAACTTTCCCCTACTTATATATATTATAATGTAACTTGAAACTTCACAGGGGTGTTGAGAAAAAAAGAAGAACACTATGTTGTAGTTTGAAATAATAATTTTATTCAGTTTTACCACTTTTATCGAACTTTTCGTTTTTCACTGCCAAGTCCAGTGCTTGGGCTACCTGTGTATATTCGTATTTCTCTACATCACTTTGCTTCTGACTGACAACTTCTTTGTAACTGTCCTTAAACATCTTCGTTACTAGTAAATAATTCGGTTGATTTTCATATTTTTGCTCGGATTATCTTAAACAACAACAACAAACACACATAAAGATGTGCATTTACCTGGACGGGTTTCGTAAATCCTTCGTCTGGCAGTGACATACCAAGGTTCGTACTCGACCTGGGCTCTAAAAGATTTGAAAATATTGTTTTGATAGTGTACAAACATTAAATGTGTGCAACACTTTCCACTATTTCCATACAAAATAGTGTTAATTAAACAATAGAAAACAATAGAATTAGCATAATTTAGCAGTATTTAGTGGTATTTATGTTGCACAGTTTTAGTGTTTGTACTCTATATTTAACAATTAGACCTCGAGGTCGAGTGGACTACGAGCTAATAACCCATGAGGCCGAGTCCGAGATTGATTGTCCAAAGATGCAATTGTTAATTTATCTAAATCTAAATTGGTTAATGCTTAGGTTTAGGGAAAATATCGGGTTAGGCAATGCATAGCGCTGGTTCGAATCTTAATGCCCGTCCTTCAAAAAAGTCTTTTCAGTTTTGAGAATTTTCTAAGTTCTTCTCCACATATAATTGCATGGGACATAAGAGCCTTCTATGTGCACATCAGTGCCGTGCATGCACAACCATATATGAAAGTCGTACGACAGACCCTTTTCGGTCACACTCGGAAACCACGAATAATCCCAATCTCGTACCCAGAACCGTCGTTCCTCTTGGTCAGCGCCGAGAAACGAGGGCTCTGGCATATTCCATTTTTTTGCGAATTTTGATTGGCCGTCAGGAATTTGTTATTGCGCTTGTGCATCACTCCGGAAGTAAACTTGCACCAATAAAAAGGAGGCTTAGAGTAGGGTAGCCTGCGTTACATCGAGATTTTCGTCCAAGCTGTCGAGCAATTTACTTTCATCTTTCCCACCTTCCATCACCCGGTCTCCACGAAGAACACAGACCTTCATTCCGCACTCTTTCAGTTTGGAAACCTGATCTCTTATAAGTGCGTGTAAGGGCGAAATGACAATAGATTTATATTGTGGATCCACAGAATCAAAATGGTCAAAAACTTCAGGCAAAAGTTGATAAATTAAAGACTTCCGGTATCCTTTTGGATGAGCGGCTAATACATCTTTTTTTCTCCATTACTATAGACTTTAAAACTTCAAACTGCTTAACTTTTAAACTGAAATTATCTCTTCGAATCGCTTTTAGACCTTGGTCTAAAGGGGCATAAAACATACCATCCTCCATTTTGATTTTGATCAACGCATGCGCAATGAAACCGGAACTGCAGAAATTCTTATGAAAAAGATGGAATATGCCAGAGCCCTCGTTTCTCGGCGCTGACCAAGAGGAACGACGGCTCTAGCTACGAGATTGGAATAATCCTTTTGGATGGCGAAGAACCCCTAATGCATTTCGGCCTTGAAATGCACAATTTCGTTTCAGTATTCAATGTGTTCTGAATAGCTGTACGTAAAAAGTAAAAGATCAAATCAAGCACTTAACAACACGGTTCCTATTCAGTACGGATATGCCATGAATAGATTGCCTAGTTCATCTTGTTTACCTTTTCTTATGGAGATTGTTTGTAAGTAACAGCGAGACATGGATGCGGTCGATGTCCTCTGCAACAGTCTCTTCTCTCTCCCCATTGATCATCTGTCAAATAAGTTTCTTTTTTATCAGCTAAAATGATGTTCAAAAAGAAAAGAAAGTGCACTTACAAATATCTCCCTCCATGTTGGATGTGTATCATTTGCATAGATCTTCCGCATTTCTTGGTACAGGAAAATTGTGTAAGCCCCCAAAAGAAGGATAGTGCAAACCACTGAAGGCAAGTAGTAGAATATTATATATGATATGCCATCAGCCTGGAAAAAAGGAGAAAAATATGTTGCAGAGGCTGTAGTCTGTACAGCAAAACAGCTGTTTTGTAAAAACTATACTTGACGAACACATCTACCCAGGCATTCGATCCTCTCTAGCACATATATAAATCTGCAGTTTTTTTCGTTGTGAATCTAATTAATGACTAAGTTATTATTTGTACTTTTAGCTAAAGCATGTAATTATTTGACGCTCGAAGAGCCCATTTATTTTTTGTTACTATCGAGGCATAGCGAGAATATGACTTTACATAACACAACACTTGTCAGACCATAGTACAACAAGATAATCACAGAACGTTTCCTCGCGCCGACTATACTGGTTGAAAGGTGGTCAAAGATTTGAGTTGCACACTGACACACTAACCTGTTTACCGGGTAATAAACAGGCAATAATCAAAACCGCATCGACAATGCATCTGAAGAGAAACAGAAGCACAATACGTTACTATTATATCAATTGTAGAGTATGCATTATTTATCATTTACATTAATTAATTTACCCAATAGAGTTGTTATACAGTGATTTCAGAAAAGGTTGAATACTGAATGCTGCATTGTGCATTTCAAGACCGAAATGCATTGTTACAATTAAACTCCACTTTAGCTGCATTACAAATAAATTACAATTTTAAATAAATTGCTTTGCATTGACGTTCTTGATTGTTAGGAGCTGGTTTATAGTGACTGAGACTCCTTTTGAACGGAATTTGAGCGAATAACAATGCATGTCGGTCTTGGAATATACTGCTTTAAGTATTCGAGGTTTTCTGAAATAGCTGTTTACACATGTACAGGCCAAAGGAGACTAAACAGATTTGACTTTATTAAAAACCACTTTCTTTGCTTTAGCTTTACTAAGATACATAACAGTCAAACATATCAACTAGATGACAAATACTGACAAATATTTTTATTCAGTTTTTATTATGACTCTTCCTAGCTGTAATTTTAAAATATTAACTACATGAGATCTTACCTTATGAAAGTATAGAGCAAACCCATGATGTAGCCAATCATTCTGTACTCAGCATTGAGACATGCCAAATATGGGTAGTTTATGATGCCGTACAACAATGACATGAGGATCCCGCTAAACGCTGGCAAATTTAAAGACACATGTCCGATAGTACCATTTTCCAACTTTATATAAACGCGGGAAATTGGTGGTCATTAAGAGCCGTTTACACTTTACACTTTTAAAAGTTTCTTGTCAAGGAAACCCTTACTCCTTATTATCCCTTTATACTATATGAATATAGAGATATTGTAAGATTCGAACTTTAAACCGATGGATGGAAACGGATTGCGAATGGATATTTGAAGGCACCTCATTTTCCATATATGAAAAATCTAAAACACGACCGCATGGAATGCTGGTGGACCATGTCCCTTTAAGAACATTTCTCCAAGAATTTTAAAAGGGTTTGAGTCTAAAGTGTTTGAAGCCATTTAAAATACACTAAAAAACACTCTTAATTTAAAATGCTCCTATATCCCTTCCTTGTAGCGTTAAGTAAATGGGAGGGAGATTTCATTCAGCAGTGTCTTGGCACTTCTCTTCCAACTAATTTACAAAGAAAAATATATGTCCCTTTACTTAAAATGCCGCTGGAGTACAGGGACAAGTATCCCTAAACGTGTGAAGTTCCAAGTAGAGTAGATTTCATTACATCCTCGGGAACCCAGGGATAATCTTCTGTCGTTCGTTCCTCACTCCCAGAAAAAATACCCCTGGGCACGAACTCTGTTAGACCTTGTTCTCGATTCGAAATTCAAAATGGCGGCCAGTAAGTTGATTAACCAATCAGAATGTTCGAGTGAATCACTCGACCAATCAGAAATTTACCGGCTGCCATTTTGAATTTCGAATCGAGAACAAGGTCTAACAGAGTTCGTGCCCAGGGGTATTTTTTCTGGGAGTGAGGAACGAACGACAGAAGATTATCCCTGGGTTCCCGAGGATGATTTCATTATGGCATAACTAAAATTATATACACTAACTTCTGGATCATTAAGTAAAAATCGAGTCATTTTGATAATGAGTGCGGAATGTTTGATCATACTAGTTAGAGCGAGACAGTCTACCCCTGCTAACTATGGTTTGGACAAGCTTCTCGAATTCATGGCTGATTGTCGTATAAATAGACTTCTGAACCTTTTACGTCACTACTTGATTTTCAATGCATTGTGGGATCAGTTTCAAGAGAAAACAAAAGAAATCCGCCATGTTCTGTCCCAAACATACCCTATAATGCATTGCGTATACGGTACATGACGTAAAAGCTGCAGAGGTCTATTGAAAGCGGAAGTTGGTTGTTTTTTTGCGATGTTTGATCTGTATTATTCACTGATTTAAGGAATAAAAGACGAAATTCCGTGTTTGATACTCTGATCAAAACACGCGGGATGTAGGGAGAACACGAGAGAAGCGTAGGAAACCACGACGCGTAAAATTAAAAGAATAAAAGAAATTTTTGACGCGCACGAGCGTGTTTTGATACTGTAATCAAACATGGTTTTCGACCAATCACAGCGCGCGTAGTATCCTAAGTATTTTAGAATACTTATTCATGAATTTGAGAAGTACATACAGCATGTGTCTTTCTCTACAAGTACACACCAACAGGTACTGGAATCAGTACTATTTGCGATGCCGTTGGCGCGGTTCATTGACATCCTGCAGTTCGCACTGTATCCATAGCATTGAAAAAACAATGAAATGCAACATATAACATTTCAGAACTGTAATATACCTTTGCCGAATGACGTATCTGAAATATTCCTGGTAGCAGTGGTGTTGATACGAAATAAGGTCCCAACAAACATCTCTAATAATGAAGATGTTGTAGCACAAAAAGCAAGTACAATAATCAATCTGTTCCTCTCTTTTCCCAGGAAGTTGACTGGTCTGAAATAAAAAAACGACGTAATGGGAAAATAACCAAGTGTTCGCTTTAACCATCACCAAAAATCTGGTATTATCCTTACATGGGTAATCCAGGTCGACCATTCAACAGGTCAGGTCTTAATTGCACTCTTTTCTTCATGAAACTCAACACAACCATGATTAGCATCTGAAAAATGATACGAAGCAATTATGATGCCATTGACGACTCATTTAGACAATATTATTTCTATGTATCGTGCACTATAAATAACTATTATTGATGATTAATTTAACGCTTTGTTAGGGCGACAATGTGCTTGGATCTTGACGTTATCTCTTGGCAAGTTGCCCGATCCCATGTAAAAATGACTGACACATGCATTTCCCAACAAAACTAGTGGTTTACAATACTTACCGCAGGTGCTAACATCCCCACAGTGTAAGAGTATTTATCAACTGAACATCTTGAAATAGAACAAATCATTAATTTTTACCTATGTGACTAGTATGCTAATTGACATGATGTATATTATATCAGGAGAATGCAGAAGAGTCTACGGCTTATTGTACACGGTAGAGACTTTTAGAGAGGAACATGACCGTCGATCGACGTTCGCGTTTGCAGTTGTATTTTCACGATGTGGCCATGAAATGCACATACGTAGCAGCTTTCTAATCTATATACTAGTCACCCAGGTGGTGTGCCCGTAAAATATGTCAACAAATCATTTTAACTCAATAGTCTAGATAAACATCGACACGTCCCTGTATAACACATTGTGGACATAGAAAGTACACCGCTATTCAAGACAACTGAAGGCCAGTTGATACCCTATTCAAGACATGAAGGCCAAAAACCATATCCTATTTGGCGGAACGTCCCCGTATCAGTAAATATAGGAGTCGACCTCTGGGAAGCAGACCCAAAGTCCCTTGTGGACCGTCTCCCAAAACCTGAGCAACGTTTTTTTCTAAGGCAAGCAAAACGGAGTCTCTGCAGAAGTTCGCCCTACCCCTGGAACAGAGGTTGCTGGCTGCATTCTCGGGCGACTATTTTTTTGTAGCTTTTTTTATGTAGCTTTTTTTTTTCTCAAAGAATGAAAAAAAGGTGTCACCGCAATTTACTGGTGTTGTTCTCTGTATCAGTGATAACGGCTATTAGTCCCTAAATAGAGACTAATAGTGTGAACTATTTTGATTATATTTCATTAGGCGTCATTTTCATCCGTCTGTGAAATAGGAATTGTACTAGAATCTAATAAATGCTAGAGTACAAACTCTAAAACTGCACTAGCTGTGCAACATAAATACCACTAAATACTGCTAATTCTATTGTTTTCTATTGTTTAATTAACACTATTTAGTAGTAAATAATGCAAAGTGTTGCACACATTTAATGTTTGTACTCTATTACCACCTATTTATAACTCCCAATAGTTTAACTTTTGACATGCGGCCATTTTAAAATTGCGCCAGTAAATGGGTCAACGCGCAACGATAAACAGCCTTTAATAAAAGTATAATATTCTACCCTATCCATTGTTATTAATGAGGTATGGGGATATCCACCTGGCCTGGAACCGTCCAGTTAACTGGCCCCAAAGGTGGATTTGTTTTACTCGTAATCGTACGCTTGCCGCGGGAGGTGGGTGGGTAGCCATCCTACTGCTTGTGCCCTTTGAATGAAGTGATTGGAGTAGCCACTCCCTGACCCTATATATACTCATTTACATAATTACAATTCCCTAGGGTATTAATTATAATATATTCAAATGACTTTGAATAGTGAGCGCGTAAAAGGAAAAAAGATGGCTGACAGACAAATACAACAACCAGGCCTTCCATGAGTGCGCATGGTCATAATGATAATTGTCCGCAGACCTATTAGTCTGCTGGAGTTGGGCAAACACGATTTTAATTTTGCCTTTTGTTAGCCTACTACACCCTAATAGTTGCTTTTTAACACTGACTAGTAGTAATTGTTTGACAAACGGATGAAAATCACTATTCAATGCCAGTTTGTTCGTGTTCACAGAACCAGTATGGAATAGTGAGTCACAGCTGTCAGTAATCCTTAAAAAAACGTTTGAGTTGTGTACTTTTGACAGTCTATGGCTGCAAACCGAGAACGCATTTCATAAAATAGCAGCATTTTTTATAGTTTTATAGAAAGATAATTTAGAGAAAAAGCCGGCTTGCTCATCGATCCTCAGTACTGTCTTCTCGTCACAACACTGAGATGTTGATGATTTTTGCTTCAAAAAACACAGAACCATGTTTTTGGTATTATTTGAACTTGTTTTTCCTTTCCTTTGTCATAAGAACTATATAGTAGTTTAATATAGTTGCAGTACTATAGTATTTTCTAGTATGATCTCTGTCGATCTACTTCGTGCAGACATGAATAATTAAGTCAAAATCTGCATTAATTGATCCGTTTCTTCGTCTGCTGACCTTTTTACACGTACCCTGCTATGCAGGGGGTACGTGTAGTAAAATGCTGTCACTTTCTTGGTTTTTCTTTTTTTTTCACAATGTCGAAAGTTTGGCTTCGGTACATCTTCGTAGCCAATCACATTGTGAATTATATATCCGGTAGCCAATCACATTACGTTGTGTATTCCGAACGCTATAACCTGTCGATAATCCCGTTCGCAACATTTCCAACTCGTTCTGCACAATGTTTTATCCTCCATTTTGATGAATATTGTCTCTACTAACGAATATGGAACAGAACATGAAGGTTTACGACCAAAATCTGGAACTCATTACTTGTCTGGGTGTTCGGACCAAGGGTATGTTGAATTGTGATGACGAGGAGATCTCACTACAGAGATCAACACGCTTACTACTCGTGAAGCAACGGCAACGATATAGTGATTGGGTTCCAATGATTGAATATCCAATACAACTCTTTAGAAAATGCTTATTAATTCCATGGCTATTCAAACATCTGCAATAGATATGTCGAGTTTTAATGTAGATGTGCAGTTAATAAAGCGTCACGTTGTAACCAAATCATGCCTAGTTATATATCTCCGGGTATATCTGACCTTAAAATTATACTGCAGAATCACAAAGAGGCAGTTACAGCTGAAATTTTAAGAGCCACCACATATAAGCTTATCGCAAAAATCACATATATATCTTGGCAAGGCTCGATGGATCAAATCAATTCTTTATTCTGTATCAGTAAGGTTTTTAATAAGGCCTCATTTACTAATGATCTCACAACATCATGCACAACAAAGGGTACGTGTCAACCCTGCATACAGGGTCTAGTTTCTTTCTGAGTCATATTATGTTATTATTTACTCATATCACTTACTTGGAAGACATATTGAAGACGATTTGTAACGTTCTTTCGGCTTTCTTGATTGCTTTCTGTGCTACGAGCAGCTACCAGCTCATACACTCAATCATAAAGCAACTGCATGATGTCAGAGGAGGGTGATCAAGGCCCGCAAAGCAATATGGGACTAAACACGATTACAACTTCATTTGRGTTTGACCGTCGTCGAGTAAACGACTCCTGGCGGGACGCCGTAAACGTTTAAATCGTCCTACCGTCTGCTCTGTGGTCATCTTGAAGCTACAGAGCAATTCTATCTTTGTTGTTAAGTGCTCAGTGAAGAGTTTTAGTACTGATAAGAACTGCTAAATACTAGCAAACCTCTTGAGTCAAGACTGCGAAGCGATCACTGACCTTGGGTTCATCATGTTTCGGCTATGTCCGGTCACGCAACACTGTTGAGTTTTGTCATTTAGTTTTTATTTATCTTTTGCTTCAAATTAAAKATATTTTTACATCATAAACTAAAATATAAGARCTTTGCTATCGATATTTATCAATGAACTGTAAATTTGGTTAGAACTTTAGCAGTAAGTTTCAATACCCAAGAGTATGAGCCGACGTGACAACCACATTGACGTCGGTGTTGGACACACGCAGACTGCAGACTGCAGACTGCAGACTGCAGACTGCAGACCGCAGACTGCAGACTGCAGACTGATCAAAATATATTTCCTATATATAAAATTTAKAATTAATAAAAATAAAGGAAGGA